CTTTGGCAAGGCTTAAAATGCGTTTTAGAGGGAGGTCTTCTAGTTGATCAAGAACCTCAAAGAGTGGGGGTGGCTCCTAAAGTGTAGAGTCACTGCCGTGCTTAAACTGGGCAAAGACAAAGCAGTTGAAAGGCACTTTTATCGTCTTGACCACAGCTGCGACAGGTATAATTGAAGGGAGATTTAATTTTCTAGCATGGTGATCCAATCTGCAGTCCTTGTGATTAACTAGTAGTATTATTTATTCTGTATTAACCAAAGTTAAGAATATGTCTTTACTTAAGAATATTATAAGAATCGGTTCACACTGAATGATTTTTACAGGATGGTTTTTACTGTACCGATATTTTGGTGCACAACACTCTTACACTGCATAATTTGAATTTTTTCACAATCTGTTAATTGATGATTTCTATTATATCTCGTTCATTGTGTAATAAAATCGCAGTTTCTTCTCATTCATTTCATTATATCTAATCTATTCAAAAATTATTATCTGATTAGCGCAAGTGCGCATTTTAAAAGGCTATATAGTGTATTAAAAGAATGATAAAATCTATGTCTCATTCATCAATTAAGTGTGGAACTGAGCTTAGAAAAGTAGTTATCTTAAAGTAAATAGACATGTAGATAAAGATATGGAATTCAGATTTCGACTGTAGCTTTGTGATCAATAGATGTTTTGTACTACTCATCTTTGTAATTCAATAGAAGGCATTCTGTTTTACTAGTGAAAACCAAAATGTTTTCGTTTGGGATTTCTTATTAACAAACCGATCAAACGAGTTCTCATCCCAGAAACTGCCTCTGCTTATAGGAGTACTATTGCTAAAAAATATGTATAGAGTCCGGTTAACTACTTTTCACACAATTTTTTCTTACTATATAACGATTTCAGATTAACTGATATCTAACTTCATCTCTAGATTAGTAAGGTTCTTATTTTTGTTCATTTAATTTGATTGATTTCTTTTTTTTTCTTTCATTTGTTGAACTTATTAAAGTTTATTTCAATAAACCAACCGGTTACACACTAAGAACAATAGTTTGCTAATTATTATTGAAATAATTATTAAAGAACACTACATAAATATGGTACCATATATATGAAATTCGATACCATGGGAACAATATAAATTAATTTGATTATTATTCATAATTCCAATGAGAAACCCAGAGAGGTTCCATTTAAAAGCGTTTAATCAATGAAATGAAGCATAAAATTGTTAAAAAGGAGCAGCTGCTTTCTAAGTAAAAATTAGGCAGGACTTTGTGAAATGTGTAACCACAAATTAGAGCGCAATCCTTCCGCTGCAAGAAAGGATAACTAAAAACCAATCGAAGAAAAGGTTTCCATATAATTTTTCTGCTTGAATGGCGTTTCCGAAAAACAATTTCAAGTGTGCATTGTTTATTTTATTTTTGCTTAAATTGTTTTTAACACAATGCAATTTATATTTTCTGCTAAAATCGTAAAAATCATAAAAATTCCTTTCCCAAACTGAATTTAAATTTATTTAAGTTTATTTTGTAGTTCATTGTTGTTTTTATATATTTCGTGACCATTTAGTGTTGACACCCCCTGGTGCGGTGTTAGTTTGCGGCGCATGGAAGTAAGCACCCTTCTTCGATATATTAAATAATAACTGCATAGGATTTGTTTATCCTTGTATTATGTCGTCCAAAAAAATTTAATTTTATTGCAAATTTCATTTGTGCAGTGTTAGGGGAAGCGTTCAGGTTCGGCTTAGGGTTGCTCCTTGTACTCGTAATTGCTGTTGCAATAAAGGATTTCGCTGTAGTTGCATTTGTTTGCATTGTGCGATTTGTAAATGATTTTTTGAAACTGTAACGACCACTTTAAAGCTGCAATAAATTTTACTTCGTTGAAAAAGATTTGTTCAAATTATTTACAATACCACCAGCCAATACTGTGGCCTTCCACGTCAGAAAGAATTTATAGTAGAGATTTTTACGGATTTAATTGCTTGTGCTCGTTCAAAATGACAAGAATACTTTAATCCTGCCCTCATTAAGTACAACAGTTCAGTTAAGTTTGTTGTGCCTAAATCGAATGCTTTAATTGCATCCTGAAATCGGCAATGTGGGTGTTGCATTTGGGATAGTTTCTGTAAATGACATCATTTGTTAGAACTTAATTTGGTATTTTGTAGAGTTTATTGTTGGGTTATTGTTTTATCGTAGCAAATTGAATTTCCATTTTAAAATCAATATACATTTAACAGAGAAAATGTTTTGAAAATTTGGTATTGATTTTAAATTGTTGAGTTAATGCTTTATAAGGAAAGCCGATTCGTCTACACAGTTTGTTCAAAGAAATTTGATATTCAGGTGTGGTTTAATTAAAATTTGATTTAAAGCATATGAGTCGGACCATTTTAATTTCATAAATACATATATAAATTTCACAATATTAATAATAATAGTAATATAGTATAATATATATATATATAATAGTAATATTTTCGATAAAGCAGGAAAGTTTATAAATATGAGGAAATTGATATTATTAATCCTTTCTCCTCCATGTATTATGTCACTGTTCGACGAACTATTAACTTCGTAGGAAATGTCTACTTTAAGCACAGTAGAACATAGAAAGTGTGCGGAAGTTCCCAGCATAGTTCTTTCAAAAAATAATCTACTTTATCAACTACGTTTAGATATTCTTAGATAAAGTTAGATATTCATAACTTAGTATGTAGTTTTAAAAGGGCGCTTATGTGGTACTTGAATAGTAGAGAAAACTCTGCTGTCAATCAAGTACAATCGACTTAACAATCCTTATAAGATTTATGATTTAAGCAAATCTTTCTTCTAAAAATATATTAGATGTCGTTGAGAAGCTGAGATAGATCTTCGAATGATACCATAATGAACTCCAGGCCAGACCTGTTTTACTATATTTATTACACACTATCATATATATTACAATAATGATAATAATAAATACTCTATCCAAGGGTTCAAAGGCTTTGAATCGCAAGCTTCAAATTGCTCATATAATTGAATCGAACTACTAACATAAAATTTGGCTTTGTTGAGCTATCAAGCTATTCAATCAAACCAATTCAAAAATTTATGCGTTAAATTTCTTAAATCGTTAAACGAATTATCAGTTTTGTATTGAATAATCTTACTCAAAGATATCTATGGTCGCCCATGTCACCTATTAACATGAAGATTTCATATCAGTGCTGCAAATGGGTTGTTATATATATGAATTTTGTAGTATAGGTCCTTTCCAGCTATATTTGCACAGACATAAACAGAAAGTATATGCGATAGCTCTCAGTAATTGATAGTTCTAGGACATTATATTATATTTGTGAAATATATCTTAGAAATGTATTACATAAATAATCACGGAGCTCAATTTTTTCAATTCATAATTATAACTTCTGGAGAGAAGCTGCCTTGAAATCAATGTTATGCTATATACTGGATACAAGGTAGAATAGTATGCTCTCAAAACCAGATAATATATGTATATGGAAGAATAGGTAAAGAAAGCATGCCTGTCTTTCGATTCCTGTAAAAGGATGATTATTTGAGTAATTATTATTATCGTTATTAT